TAATCTGTTATCCATCTCTGGGATAGCTTGCCTGTTTGATCAGTCTTGGGGGGTGTGAAGAGTTGATGTTCATCTTCTACTGACATAGTTAAAGCCATGACTATAGGAGTTTTTACTGAAGGATTTAGAAATTCCATTTGGGGGCCTTCAGGGTTAAAAGTTATTCTGGCCTGGAGTTTGGTGAGCAGATCTTTGCCCAACAATGGGGCTAGGCATTCTGGGATCACTAGGAAGGAGGAAGGAGTGATAGGCTTTTCCTTTCCCCAGGTCCATGGTCCTCTTAGTTGTCCAAGCCCAATATTTACTGCCATTAGCCCCTTGAACTTGAGACCTTTTAGTTGATAGAGGGCCCAAGGGGGCCTTAAGGGCTGAGTATACTTCCCCTGTATCTACTTCAAAGTTTACTGAGGTTCCCTCCACTTCAAAAGTTACTTTGAGCTTGGGGAGGGGATCCGAGCCCTGACTTTCCTAGTCATCCTCCAGAGTCAGAATGGCTGGCTGGCATGGCTGTCTCTTTCTAGGGCACTCTTTGGCCCAGTGTCTTTTTTCTCTACAGTAGGCACATTGATCTGAGGCCAGAGGTGGCTTTTGGCGTGGGCCCAGGTATCCCTTTCTGTCTCCCTGTCTCCTAACTTCTGGCCTATTTGTTGTTGTGACCAGGACCTTAGTCAATGCCTCAGTCTGTCTTTTGCTTCTTTCATCCTCCCTTTGCTCCCTTTCTTTCTCCTTTTGCTCTCTTTCTTTCTCCCTCCTTTGTTCCTTCTCTTCCTAAGTTTCTCTCTTATAGTATACCTTCTCAGCTTCTCTGACTAAATCTCTCAAAGTCATATCTTGTAATCCATCTAAGCATTGTAACTTTTTTTTTTTAATATCCAGGGCAGCTTGCCCAATAAAGGCCATCGTGACAGATGCCTTTTGATCCTCTGCCTGAGGATCAAAAGGAGTATATCTCCTATATGCCTCCATAATTTTCTCCATAAACATAGAGGGAGATTCATTAGGCCCTTGAATAATTTCTCTTACCTTGGCCAAATTAGTTGGCCATCTAGCGGCTGCTCAGAGACCCACTATTAGAGCCCGGTGATAAGTGGACAGATGCTCCCTACCTTCAAAGGTGTTGGGGTCCCAGTTGAGTCGGTTCAAGGGGAAGTTGTGTCGGTTGCCCATCTGGTCCGAGGACATTTTTTCTAGCTTCCAGGAGGATTCTCTTTTGTTCCTCTGTCATGAAGAGAGTCCCTAGGAGTGGTTGGCAGTCATCCCAAGTAGGCTGGTGTGAAAATGCCGGCGAGTTCTTTGAGTCTTTTTTAGCAGGGCCAGTTTCCTTCAGGGGAGGAGGGGCTGTGTGTGTCTCGGGGACGTCATCTGGAGGGTGCTGGGCCGGCTTAACCTCCTCCAATGGTGGAGAAGCTGAGTCAGCAGCAGGGGAATCACTTAGAGGGTGTTGGGGGTTGGGGAACGAAGGCAGGGGATAAGGAAATGGAGGAGAGTCCAGCAGAGTCAAATCTTGAGACTCAGGGAGAACAAAGGGTAGAGAAGGAGCAGAGGGTTTGAGAGATAGAATCGTGGAGGGAGGAGTAGGAGTGGGGGCAGGAACAAGGAAAGACTTCACCCATGGAGGAGGAGATTTGCAGAGGTCCTGCCAAGTTAAGATATACGGCTGTTGATCTGGATGGCTATGTGGTCCCGGCTGAAAGACAAAGACAATATCTCTGACTTTTCAAATTAGTGGGAAGTAGAAAGATCCTTCTGGGGGCCATCTGACTCCAAAGGTGGGCCATTCTGAGGCACAGAGAGTCTGCCAGGTCTGGTGTTTTACTGAAAAAGAAAGATTTTAAACCCTTAAGTGGACTTCAGTCCAGTGATCAAGGGTCAGGGACAGAGGCATGGAATGGCTCTGTCCCTTAATGAAAGTTACTTGAACAAAAACAGGGACAATACAAATGTGACACAAACACGGACACACAGTAAACAGTAAACGTGTAACACAAGTTCAGAGGCAAAGATTAAAAACAGACAGTGAATTCAACCTGAGAGAAAGAACAGTTGCCGGCAAAACCAGACGGGTTGGCAACAGAATACAGATGAGGGCACCTTCGTCCCTCCCAGATTGGGGCACCTCCATCCCCCCCCAGAGTCTCTCAAAGCGTCCCTTGAGAGACGTGGCCTGTGGCTTCAGGGACAAGTCTGTCCACCACCGCCAGGGGGAGCTCATGCTCTCCGCTGACAACCACACTCTGCCAACCCAAACCAAAAAACCAGAAGGCTCTGAGAGCTCACGCTCTCCGCTGAGCCAAAAACCAGACTCTGAGCGATCGCAAAGGAAAAACAAGAAGGAGAAGAAGGAGGAGAAGAAGAAGAAGATAAGGCGCCTTACTTACCCCCCCAAAGGAGTCTTGTTGAGGTCTCTCTGTCCGGCGATGCGCAGTTCCCGGCCAATGCACCAAATGTAGGGTCCGGCGAAATGTCGGAGGAGAGACCACAAGAGACTGTCTCATGCAACAGCAGAAGGGTGGGTTTATTTGGAGACCAGCATGCTGGGGCCCAGAGCTCTCTATAGCAAAGAGAGATAGAGCCCTGAGAATAGCTTAAGCAGAGATTATATACTTTCCTTGGAGAGGGCAGGGAGAGAAGTTACATTTTGTAGTTTGGAAGTTGGGGACAGCTCATTCTGGGAACAAGATTAGCAGACAGTCCACAGTTGGGGACAGCACATTCTGGGAACAATTCTGTGAACAAGATTAGCAAACAGTTCTTAAGATTTCAACAGTGTTTTGTTAAGCATATGGAGAAACGGAGTGACCAGTACCTATTTTATTAACCTTTCAATATTGAACATTTTTTCACGTTTGGTTATTTTAATTTCTTCTTTGTAGAAGTGTCTTCAGGTCATTTTTCAATTTTAAAAAGTAGATTACTAATTGTTTGTTTGTTTGTTGTTTTAGTTTTTGAGTTCTTTTTTTATTCTGGACATTGATCCTCCATCAGATGAACACTTGGCAAGTGTTTTCTCCCTTTCTGTAGATTCTCTCTTCACTGTTGTTTCCTTCATTGTGCAGAAGTGTTTGTCAATTTTTGCTTTAGTTTCCTGTGCTCTTTCCTATCTAGAAAACCAGTGCCTGTACCAGGGTGTTGAAGTGTCTCCTATGTTTTCTCCTAGCAGTTTCAGAGTTTCAGGTCTAACATTTAGGCCATTGATGGATGAACTGGGAGTTGATTTTTGTACAGAGTGAGAGAAGGGGATCAAGTTTCAGTCTTTTGCATGTGGAGATCCAGTTTTCCCTGCACCATATGTTGAAGGTGCTATCCTTTCTCCAGTGTATTTTTTGGTGTCTTTGTTGAGATGCAGTTGGCTTTGGATGTGTGTTGATTTCTGGGATCATGATTCTTTTCCCCTGATTTATGTGTTTGTGTTTATTATAATACAATGCTTCTGTTACTAAGGCTCAGTAGAATGTCTTCAATTAGTTGTTATGTTGCCTCCAGCTTGATTCTTTTTGCCCCAAATTGCTTTGGCTATTCTGAGTCTTTTGTGCTGCTATATGAATTTTAGAATTGTTTTTGCTGGTTCTGTGAAGAATGCCATTGGTATTTTGATGGAAATTACATTGAATCTTTAGATCTCCTTGAGCTGTTTGGACATTTTAACAATATTGATTTTTTATAATCCATGAACTTGAAGGCTCTTTTCTTTTTCTTTTATTTTATTTACACTTTTTATAATGAAAGCTTTGTAGTTACACATAGTAGTTGGGTTCATCCCAACAAACCTGTGCATGCATGGAAATCTATTTCAGTTCATGATACCCCACTTTTCCTTCACCTCCCCTATTCTCCTTCCTCTACTAGACTTCCTTTAGTTCATCTGTTTATCTATATTTGATTAGTTCCTTTTACTTCTGCATAAAGGTGAAATTCCTTGTGGTATACTTATGTATGCACATAACATGATTTTTAAAGAAATCATTCTGCATTGCCTCCCCTTTCCTATCCCTCTGCTCTGAGATCTATCCATTTTTGTGTGAATCTTCTTCAATTTTGTTCATCAGTGTTTTTGTTGTAGAGAGTAGGAATAAACTTTCTTGGTCTAGTTTATTCCTAGATATTTTATTTTTATAGCTACTGTGAAAAGGATTGTTTTCATTATTCTTTCTTGTCGCGACCCCTTGCCCGCAAGGAAGACACAACTCGGGAATCTTCTTTCAGCAGTTTATTCAGGCCCTTGATATTTCTTCTACTAATCCCTCGGATGCCCCTCCCAGCCTTAATAAAGCATCTCAAGCCCCAATGCGAAGCTGCCACGTGGAACTTTCTCATAGGGTGCTGAAAAACCATGCACCAACTCTCCCAAATAAGGAGTTGTTTGTCACATACCACAGCGGAGCCAGCGCCATCTTGTAATGGCGACCATAATCTGCATAAGCGGCAGAGGCGGCTCACCACACTTTCTCAGTGTATTCATTAATGGTGTATAGAAAGCTATTGATTTTGTGTGTTTGTGTGTGTGTGTGTGGTGCTAAGACTTGAAATCAGGGACTATGTGCGTGCTAGAAAAGACCTCTACCAATAGGCCTGACAAGTTACTGATTTTTGTACATTGATTTTTGTGTCCTGCTAGTATACTTAATTATTTATCAGTATAGTACTTATGGTGGAGCCTTTAGGTTTTTCTATGTATAGAATCATATCATCTGCATACAAGGATAATGTTACTTCCTCCCTCTTTATTTGTATGCCTATTTCTTTCTCTTGTCTAATTGCTCTGGCTAAAGCTTCTAGTACTATACTGAATAAGTGCAGTGAGAGGCCCGGTGTAGTGGTGCATGCCTTTAATATCAGCAGCTTGGGAATCTGAGGCTGAGGGCTCAAGAGTTCAAAGCCAGCCTCAGCAACTTAGTGAGGTGCTAAGTAACTCAGTGAGACTCTGTCTCTAAATAAAATATAAAAAAGGGCTGGGATGTGGATCAGTGGTTGAGTGCTGCTGAGTTCAATCCCTGGTACAAAAAAAAAAAAGCAGTGAGAGTGAACACACATGTCTTGTTTCTTCTCTTTGAGGAAGTACTTTCAGCCTTTCCCCATTCAGTATCATGTTGGTTGTGCTGTGCTTTCGTCATATATATAGCCTTTATTGTATTGAGGAATGATCCTTCTATACCTAATGTGTTCAAGTATTTTATCATGAAGTAACACTGAATTTTATCAAATACATTTTCTGGATCTATTGAGATAACCAAATGACTTTTATCCTTCATACAGTTGATGAGATATATTATGTTGAACCATCCTTGCTTCACTAGGGTGAAACAAGTTTGATCATGGGGTACAGTCTTTTTCATATGTTGTTGAATTTCATTTGCTAGTATTTTGTTGAGAGTTTTTACATGTATGCTCACTAGGGATATTGATCTATAAGGTGTGTGTGTTTGTATGTGTGTGTGTTGTGTCCATGTCAGGTTTTAGTAACAAGGTAATGCTAGCTTCATAGAATGAGTTTGGAAGAGTTCCATCCCTTTTAAGCCCATGAAATAATTTGAGAAGAATTGGTGTAACTTCTTTAAAAGTTGGATGTTGAATAGCAAAGCCATCTAGCCCTGAACTTTTCTTTGTTGAGAGACTTTCTATTCCTAATTCAATCTCATTACTTGTTATTGGTCTATTCAGGTTTATGTCCTCTTCGTTCAGTTTTGATAGAACCATACATATCCAGAAATTTTCCATTTCTTTTAGGTTTTCCAATTTGTTAGCATGTAGTTTTTCATAATAATCCTTTGTATTTCTGTGGTATCAGTGGAAATATCTGTTTCTTAGGCCCTTCTTTTTTTTAAATTCTTGGTTAGTCTAGCTAAAGTTTCATCCATTTGCTTATCATTTCAAAGAACCAACTCTTTGTTTCAGTGATTTTTTTTCAGTCTGTCTCATTTATTTCTGCTTTGATCTTTCTTTCCTTTTACTAATTTGGGTTTGATTTGTTCTTGCTTTTCTAAGTATTTGAGATATGTCAAGTTTTTATTTGAAATGGTTCTATTTTTGATGTAGACACTCAGTATTAGAAACTTCCCTCTTAGTGTTTTTGCTGCATTCCAGAAATTTTGGAAGATTGTGTTTCTATTTTCTTTCTCTTTGCAAAAATTTTAAATTCCCCTTTTGATTCCCTTGATAACCCATTCTGAACAGTTCAAGCAAGAGTGCTATTCAGACTCCAGGCATTTGTATAATTTCTAAAATTTCTTGGTGTTGACTTTTAGTTTTATTCCATTGTAATCAGAAAAGAGATGATGTCATTTTTCAAAACTTGTTAATTCTTGTTTTGTGTACTAATGTATGGTTTCTTCTAGAGAAAGTCCATGTACTAATGAAAAAAATGTATTCTGCAGCTTTTAGATGAAATTTTGTATAAATGTCTTCCTGATAAAAATTATTTAACTACAGTGATTATTATATTTATATTGTAGTATTGAAGAAACCTTAAACTGGAAGTCAGGGCTATAGATTTAGTAGGGAATAATATTCCTAGTGTGGAATTGATGGAGCCCCTACAGTATTTTGTACTTTAGTTCCTTCCATCCAAAAAAGAAGCTAAAATTGAGATCACAATCAGATTTGGTTATTAGTTATTTCCTGACAGTGAAGAACCTTGGATGATTACATTAACTCTAGACAATCAGGGGCTCCTATAGAAGTTGGAAAGTGAACAGAGGAAAAAAAGCAGTGGGTCTTGTTTTCATCTGGATTTCTTCTGTTACTGGAATTTCATGGAAAAGTGGGTTGGGGAAGAGGACTGTTAAGGAGTAACAAGATAAATACTAGTAAGTGGTATGCCTTTGGGCTTTCAAAGATTGTGGAGCTAGTTTTATAAGCTAACTTTTTAATTCCTCTACTTCCATCTAGGGTATTTTCGGCGATTGTGTTTGGCGCAGTGGCTCTAGGACATGCTAGTTCATTTGCACCAGACTACGCTAAAGCCAAACTGTCTGCAGCCCATTTATTCAAGCTATTTGAAAGACAACCTTTGATTGACAGCTACAGTACAGAGGGGCTATGGCCTGTGAGTTTCCTGCTGTCTGATAAATGCTTAATTTTTTTTTCTGTCTGCTAGATTGTAACTGCATGATAAATTGGTGGTGGTTACACCAACATATACTTATTTGTGCTGTTTATATGGCTAATAGTTGGCCACCTTTCCTACCATTTCATAGGTTTCAAGGATTCTGAATTTTAGCATATCAAAGCTTTTTAAAAAGTAAAACCAGATATACTAGAACCAAATAATTCTGACAAAAATGTAGTAATCATTTCTACATGAAGGAATAGGCATAAATACTGTCATGTTGATATGATTTGCAATTTTGTTTTAATCACATTTTATAATGGCTGAGTTATAAGTGGTAAGAAGGTCACTTTATTCACAATGAAAGTAATAATCCTATATTTTAGAATCTACAAAGAGTGTTCTTTGTGTCACACATGCTGCTGTGAGCTTGATGTCCAAGAAGCAATGTAGGTAAAAAGATTGGAGGTTACTCAATCCTTTGGGGACTTTACAAGGTACTTCATGTTCTAAGAAAACTGCTGTGCCTGTCAAGTGAGATGAGGAGAGTG